GAGAGACATGGTGTGGAGAGAGAGAGGGTGCGTAGAGACGAATTTCATGAACCACTCCAATAGTGATGTAGTTCGATACAGTAGAACATGACTATCGCGGCACCCGCTGCAGCGAGGTCATCCCTACAGAGAGACCTTAACAGAACCCCTCCCCCCTTTTTTTTCTATGCAAACTCAAGTGACTGTGCTCGGGTTTAACGAGACAAGAAAAGGCCCGAACTTGAATACAACGGAAGAGATCGATTGAGCGTATAGGCCATGTCGAAATGAGGCCACAAACTGAAAACTTTCCCAAAATAAGAACATAATTAAACAAACTTTTTATTCGAGTTGGCATCACTGAGTTGAGAATGGAAATAATCGAGAATTCATATTGTATATTCACCCGCAAAAGTAACCAAGAAAATAGCTCGTTAAATAAGTTTATTCCAAAATTGGCAAAACGTAATTATAACTTTGAAACGCACTGCGGGAATAATGGTCTCACGATTTTTTCAGAAGTAGATTTAACTAAAGATAATTATGAATACACAAACTGGCCTGGATATAGCAGAATGTGCAACGGCAGCTCGCGGCCGTGAAGGATATGGGAGCTTCATTACACGTCAACCTCTGAGTCAGGGATCACACCTCCAGGTATTCCAGGTGAAACAAGTTAGGTATAACATTAACATAACAAGCTAGGTGAAATTTTATTAAGATTAACGAGCGTTGTTTTGATTAATCGGTTATAACATTATCGTAACAAGCAGCGGTGAACCCGTACTTACAATTCGGTTTTCTCGCCTGAACTACTGCAAGGACAGTAGTCAGAAGACAACCCAGGACCAGTGGATATCTCATGGTGGGGCTGGGTCAAGGACACTTGTCGTGTTATCGCCAGCAGTAAGTCTGGAACTGCACTCTGTCTCACTGAAGAAAAGCCAGAACAATGTTTAGATTAACGAGGAAAAAAACCCTCAGAGAATGTGAATTTCATATAGCTAGTACGTGGAAGAAAGAAAAAATTTCGACCTAATTTTAGTTTTCATGTGTTAGAAGAAGAAGAAGGAAGAAAAAGAAGAAGAAGAAGAAGAAGAAGAAGAAGGAAGAAAAAGAAGAAAAAGAA